GACACAGAAACGTTAGAGACAGATTTGTTTTTATTTAGCATTTATTTTCAAGTATTCATTGATCTTTTGACCCTGTAGCAGCCTGATTACTGTGGGAACATATTGTTTCGGCAAAACCTAAATAGACGTGTCTTAATCCATCCTTTGTTCCCTGATGAGACGCACATAAAAATCAAAGCCAGGATTCTTCATTTTGCTTTTAACTCATTCCTTTAAAATCGGTGTGGAAACGTGATGTTGGGTGAACTGTCGGCACAAAAACTGGATGCTGGTAGAAAAGCTGAGAAATGTAGCATCTCCCATCTGACTGGATGGTGTTTCCGTTTGGCCTGCAGACCATCTTGATTCAGAACATTTACCGGAATCCGCAGAACAGCGCTCAGACGGCCGACGCTTCTCGATGTAAGTGGACACGTATTCAGCAGCCTTCTTTCACGCTTCAAAGCGGTCGACAAACGCTTCCCAGTGGATTTTGGTCTTAAGCTTCCCACCACAAGGGGGCAGAGTCTTTCCAGACTAGGTGTGTGTTTGTGTTACTTTTTGAGAATCATACTGGGAACCTGTCATCTAGTGGCCCTCAACAGGATTCCATCTGCTGTATTTATTGAAGGTTAGCCTTTAAGCCTTTAGGGGACAACAGCTCTGACTCTCTAGTGTGACACAGTTTGGATAAAGATGCTACCTAATGCATGAATTCAAGATGTAGAAAACTGAGTGTCTGAGCTTTTAAAGGAAAAGAAAAATCAGAGAAAAAACAAACAAACCTGAACTTGCATTAAGAGTGGAGGAGTACTTTACTATTTACTCCTTTAAATAACAGAAATTCCTGTAAATGTGGCTTCATCTGTCACCTGATTAGCTGGAACTCGGTTTACCCACAGCAAATATCTAATCACACTTTTTTTTTCCCTCCCCAGCTCTGTATTCGTTTGGATTTTTATCACAGAAGTTTGTTTTGTATTTCAGACTTTGTCTCTTGAACATTTACCTACATAACCCTCAAAACTGCCCAGTCTGCTGATGGTTTACACCGTAAGTGCTCCCTTCATCTGCAGGACCCTGTAGCGCAAACTGCACTTGATTGTACCGCACCTCGCCCCAATAGATGATTTCAGTCTGGAAGCGTAACTCGTAGAGGTGTTTCTGCTCAGAGCTGGGCAAACGGACCTCGTGCTGTTTAACGTGCTTCCACGGCTGCAGGCCTTCTGTTTCACATCCTTCCACTGTGCTGATGTGACAGATTTGGAAGCTCCAATTGTTGAAGTTTCACGCGGAGCACACAGAGTATGCAGGCTGTGAGCTCTGTCCTCTGTGTGAAACCGCTGCTCACAGATTTGGGAACTATTTGCCATCCAAATGGAGACATGGGAGGGCCAGCTCTAGCTTTATCTCCAGTCAAATGGGCTGAATTACAAAGGGAAAAGCATCCGAATAGAAAAATCTTAGTTTTAACGTCTACAGACTTGAGCTGTAATAACCTCACCACTGAGTGTCCCTTGTTGGTCTTTTCCAGGCGCCGTCAGCGACGTGGAAATGCAGGAGCATTACGATGAGTTCTTTGAGGTGAGCCACCTCTTTGTTCCAGAAGTCTCACGCTGCGACGTCACAGCCGCCTTATCGGCCGTTTGATCTCAGGGCTTTGTGGAATTTTCCAGTTTTAGTTTGGCTTATTTCGGAGCAGGTTAAACAGCAGCAGTCTGTTTGAAGGGAAAGTCCGATTCAAATCTGCTCCAGATGCGGAGTCAGATAACTGATGTGTTGCTGTTTTGAACTGGCTGACGTGTGACAGATATGTGACAAAGCCGTCAGACGAGCTTTTCAGGTAAAAAGCTTTTTAACCAGTTTGTGGTTTTTTGTGTCTTATTTCCTGATCAGGAGGTATTCACAGAGATGGAGGAGAAGTACGGAGAGGTGGAAGAGATGAACGTTTGCGATAACTTGGGGGACCACCTTGTGGGCAATGTCTATGTGAAGGTACGTGAAGCATCCCCGGGTTTCAGGGAGAGCGGACAGACCAACGGCGGCGAACGTTCCGTCACATCCGCTGCCCTCTCTCACATCCTTTCTGCATCTGTCCCCTTTGTGTAGTTTCGCCGCGAGGAGGATGCAGAGAAAGCAGTTATGGACTTGAACAACCGCTGGTTCAACGCCCAGCCCATCCACGCGGAGCTCTCCCCCGTCACTGACTTCAGGGAAGCCTGCTGCCGCCAGTATGAAATGGGGTGAGTGTCGGAGCACCTGCTCACGTGGCTGAAACATGATTGCCAAACCAGAGAAAAGGCTTATTCTGTTCCTGGGGTTTATTTTGTCAGAGCAAAAAGAGTTAGTTGGAAGTAAATAATGTCACTGGTCCCAGTAGGATGGGTACCTCCACTAAAGGTTTACTGCTGTGCAACAAACACCTGTATTAAGAAGTACTTGCTTGCCAGCCATGCAGTTTTTTTTTTTTCAATGTCTGATAATCTTTTGAGCAAGCTCAGCAAAAAGAGAACACGTTCAAAGTTCAAATTGTAGCTGTAGCAAAATATATATATTTTTTGTCAGAATTCTACTGTGCAAGAAGTTTCAAAGTTAGACAAGGACACAACAAGATGAAATGGAAACATTTTCAAGCATTGAGCTTTCAGGTCATTTGTCCAGCAACACACTCCTGCCGGATGGCCACCACTGGTCAGAACGCTGCTGGATGCCTTTTGGATCGTGGGGGTTCATGAACTCCAAACCTGGGGCCCTCCGGCCTCAGACCGTGTCCTTACCGTGCTGTTAGGACAGCTCTCCAGGCACAGCGTCCTGAAGCATTTATCTCAACATTGTTTCCTTTTTAGAGGCAGTAGGCGTCATTTACCGCATTTAGATAATCCTTATCATGGACACTGTCATGGAAACAGTCTCAGCTTCGCCCATTTACAACCCACCTTCCAGCTTTCCCCAGTTCACTCAAACAAGCTCAACTCGGTCACACTTCAGAAAGATTAATTTTACGTCCCAGGGCAAACGTTTGTTTACAGACAGCCCGATATCTGACTTGAATTGAAGCCGTATGCGGCACGTGAGCGCCTGAAGTGTGCAGGTACAGTCTGCCATGATCCAAAAGTCAGAGGCGGCGCAAACCACGTCCTAAGCGCATTAATTCAGTCTGCGCTGTGATTACATAAGCTGTTCTTGAGGGGCTTTAATAAAAAATGTGCACTGAACGACTGGCTACTCTTAGACCGTTGTTCAGACACTAATTTAGGTTTGATCGGCCTTCTCCCCCTCCTGTCTCTGTGGCTGCCGTGAGACATTTTACAACGATGCAGAAAAGCCTACAGCTGAGCTGGAAGGGGGGGGAAGATCTTATGTAAGTTTCAGAAGTTCAGTGATTTGATGTGAAAAAGGTGGCAACATTATAATTCAGTCACCTTACTAACAAATCTAAGTAAAAGATTTGGTAAATAAATGAGCAATCTGATACAGAGTTAGAGGTATGCATTTCTTCACCTCTCTGTCCTCTGCATGCAGCAGGGTGCTGATTTGGGAATAAAGCTTGCTGGCAGCCAGTGGGGCCGGGACAAAGCGTCGCTGTTCACTCTGTTTCAGGCTGGATTACGGGCCGGCCCACAGTGCAGCTGGCCCGAATCAGCCACGGCTCCATTTCACTGAGAGCTGGCAGTACCTCTACGGCTCAGGTTCAAGTGCCCTGATGGGGAAATGCGGAGCTCAGAGATGAAGCTCCTCTGGGCCGAGTGCAGGTTGTCCTTCAAGCCACTGAAACCGTAGCAGCTGCATGGACTCTGTGTAAACTGCCCCGTTTTCATTTAGAAACAAAGATAAGCTCTGTGCGTAGGAGGAACTTTGCCATCCGGGCATTTATGAGCCCCTCAGTGATTTTCCATTGAGTCCCGAGCTGTCGTTGCGCCAGGGGCTGGGCGCCCTCAAAGAGCGGCGAGATAAAGATTAGGCGTTTTGCTTGGTTGGCCGGCATGTTCCTCCGCCCGTGTAACCAAGAGCCAAGTTTTTTGTGGCAGATTTCCATCAAACACACGGGGCAGCCAGTTTAACCCTTCTTATGCTGCTCTCCTGCAGAGAGTGCACCCGAGGGGGCTTCTGCAACTTCATGCACCTGAAGCCCATCTCGCGGGAGCTCCGCAGAGAGCTGTACGGGCGCCGCAGGAAAAGGTACACCAACACCCAGCCGCCATCAGCGTGTCCAGTTTTCCTTTTTAAACAAATCTCCTCTCCTTCTCTATCAGGCACCGCTCTCGCTCGCGCTCCAGGGAACGGCGCTCCCGCTCCAGGGATCGGCGACGGGACCGCGAAAGGCGGAGGTCGAGGGACCGAGAGCGCTCTGGAAGATTCTGAGAGGAGCCGAAACTGACCCCGCAACCAAATCCATCCCTCCTAACCCCAGCAGTGATGACAGTTATTTCCTTTTCCTTTTTTGTGAATTGTTAAAAGTGTTCTTTTCTTTTATTCCCTTTTTTAAGACAAGCTCGTGTCGCTTTCTCAATAAAAACAGATTTGTAATTCTGCACTGGCAGGACTTGCTTCCATGAACCTCTCTGGAGCTTTCCACTCGGTTACTCTGTGGGCCCTAAAGCAGTCGTCACTATTTAACAGAGATGTCCCGTTTCATGGCTTTTTGGGATGAATTGAATTGTTACCAAACCACTTTGCAATACTGATGTGTGCCTGACTGTAAACAAAAACACAAAGTTTAAAATGTGTAGGTAATCTGGAGCTTGGAATTTTACGATGATGATGTTCCAGGCTGCTGGAGAGTGAGCTGATTCATCCTATGCAACTTTAAGCAGTGCTGATGACAATAGAGTGGGAATTGATAAGTAGTCTCATTTGGATGTTGGACAAACTGCTGGGCAGGTTCAGCTGCTGCAGGCTCAGGAGCTTCTTGTCTTATCCAAAAAACCTGATGCACAGTGTGCCCCCAAAGCCAAGTCAAAATTGACGAAAAGAGCCAAAAAGAACTTCGATCTTTTTTCAATGACAATGAGGGAGCATGGGATACAATGTTTTACAATTTGATACTACAGGCCAAAGGTTACAAAGTAAAAACTTCAAGATTTAAGATGATGACAGCCTGTAAGTGATGAATAGGTCATTGATGAAAAAGATGTTGATGCTTATAGGTGAATATCTAAATTACATTTATCTTTAAGCTCTTAAATATTGTGGATGGAAGAGGAATTGTACCTCCAGGCTTTTTACAAGTGAAAAACTGGAAAAGTTTAGAACATTTTACTGGATTGACAGTCTTTAATGGGGATTCATGTTGATCCCGGTCAGTTTTAAGTCCTGAGTGCTTGGATCAACATTTCTGGCATCGCCAGAGAGCCCAAAAGGAGTTCTCAGACTGTCACGTGCACCCGCGGGTGCGCGCTGCGTGTTTGGCCGTGATAAGGTAAACAGGTGGCGCAGACAACTTTAACTCGGTAGTCTTCCCAAAACCTTATGGAGAAACCTGAGCTCCGATTGGCGGGGCGCTCCAAACAGACGCCCCCGCCGCAGCCAATGAGCTCGCGGTCTGGCTGACGTCGCCTCCGTGAGGTACACGTGCGCAGCACGAAAAAAAAACCGCTGGCGTCGTCTCGAGCGCCGCATTTCTCCAAGGCGGTAGTCACGTCGTGTATCCCGGACGGTGCTCTTCAAACGGTTTCAAGACAAGTCCAAGTCTCCAGGTGAGTGAAAATGGAAGAGAAAGGGAACAATAGACGAAATAAAACCGCCATAAACCCAGAGCGAGGCGCCGGCCCGCCGCTATACGGCTCGCGCTCAGCCGCCTGGGCAGCGTCCGGTGAGCTGATGCAATCCTTTCTCTGCGTTATCCGGACAGATGAGAGGTGTCTGCTCTCACCCAGAGTCACTTCCCTCCTGTTCGGCATCTGTTTACACGCAATTAGCTTGGTTTGATTCTTCCAGTCAGATATTATTAGTAACGTAACGTGTTTGGCCTGTTTTTCTAGTATATCTTTTTATCTTTTGTCTGGACCGTGTCCCCTTTTTCTTATTCTCGAGAGCAGCGTTTTAATGAAGAAAAAAAAGGTAATTGGTTTGAAACCTCTAAAACTGTTAAGCAAAAAAAAAAAAAACCAAGGTGACATTCATCCCACCAGCTGTCAGAAGGGTCTGTAAAAGGCAGCCAGAGGTTTGTGTTTTATTTGAAGGAATGAAATTGTCTCTCAAAGCCTTTTTCTTCCAGTATTTTTTTCCCCCTGGAAAACATCTGCCCACTCCAGTAATCCTTTCAAACTTAGATGGCAAAGGAAGTCAACAGATCTTAAAAGCTTACATCTGCTAAATCAATTGAAAGTCTATTGGCTGACTTTTAGAGATGGCTCATTTTCTCCCTTCAGGTCATTTCCTTCCCCTTGACTTGCCCATCTGAAGGTTTATTTGGAGTTTTTGGGCTAGCAGGTCAGAATTTGGCCTCCGGACCCTGCAGTTCGGCCGTTCAGGTTTAAATAGTTATGACCAGCATTCCTGCCGTTGACATTTGGCCAGCCTTTTGTTGGAACGTGTTGTGCTTTGAAAGCAGTTTTTTACGGGGTCATTTACAAAAAAAAGACGGATTAAAAAAAGAACTCTGCTTTCTGCACAGAGAGAGTTAAACCTGCAGAGCTGTGAACATACCTCAGGAGATTAGACATGAAGCAGATTAAAAATCCAAAACGTCTAATGAGGGATTTGGGGTGAATTTGGGGTTGATGTTGCCAGAGCGATCAGGTGGCCCTTCACTCAGAGGGGTCACTGGGTGTGGGACTGATGGTTTGAGGGTGGTGTGTTTGAGAGGGGAGGGGGGGGGACTTTGCTCTTGCAAGCCTTTTTTCTCCCCCTGTAGTCTGGCTCAAGGCCGTGTTGGTCCGTGCTCCAGGATCGTCTTGCCTCGTTGAACCCTGTAAGGCCGCCACATACCGCATGCCCTTTCCCACATTACCATGCCGGCTGTGGCCGCTGGGACCTTAATTAGCACTGCGAGGAGCACTGGTCACAGGGTTCGAAGGAGAGGACAGGAGAGAGGCTTTAACACCTCTCTGGTGCCCTTCCAGCCGGAAGATAAAAGCCACGGCACCTTTATTTCAATTCTGAAATCCAGTGACCCTGCGAGTTTACAAAGTTCGTACGATGGGTCAGTAAAATGTTCCGGCGGATGTCGGGCTGGTTTTCTCTCCCACGCAGAGCTGTTTGCTCTGGGAGGTGCAGCCAGTAAGCTGTGTGAACGCCGTATGTGCTCACCGGGCTTCGACAGCTGGCTCCCTGTGTACCCTGCACATTAGTGGAGGTTCATGCACTCCCGTTTCAGCCTGCTGCCGCCGTGACGGGCCTGGCCACATAAATCCACTCGGGGGGGGGGCATGTGGGAGAGCGTGCGGCGCCGCGGACATATGGGGGACGGCGGCTGTGGTTGTGAGCGGCCCACCAGAGAGGAAGAGGAGGAGGAGGAGGCTGTTTGCACACAGTTGCATAAACAAAACAAAGTGACTGGACATCATGTTGCATTAGATATCCGTGTAATCAGCACCACAACTGATTAACCAGACGAACAACATCCAGCTGTAAAGCCCAGCTCACATTAGGGTTATCTTTAAAACGCTTTTACATAATTCTGACTTAACGTTGACATTCAACAGTGGTCAACCGAGTCCTTTTAGGGGACATCGTTAAAGCACAAAAGAATGCTCGGCGTACAGAAAATTGTCTCCTCATCAGTGCGGTAGTTTCCCAAATCTGCAATTTTAATGCCCCCCCACCCCAAAAGGTAATTCAGTCCTCTCATCAAATGCGTAAAAGCTCGGTTATTAAAATGATGCAATTTTTGCCTGAAGCTAGATCAGCTTCCCCCTCTCGTCACAAAGTGAGAAAATCAAACCGTCCCTTTTCTCAAAATTTTCTGCCCGTCATGGTGAGACGACTAAAGGGGAACTGCGTGGGAGGAGGAGAACAGTAATCCCTGATGTGACTCAGCATTATTAAGAGGAAGGAGCGGTTGATTATTTCCTTTAAACCGACTTTGGTTTCAACTGGTGTTTTCTCAAAGTAGGGAAAAGGTTTCATTCTGTTTGTCAGTGACTTAACTTGATTGCGACACAGTACGCTCTTTTTTTTTTTTTTTTTTTACTCGTGGTGAATTTGGCTGTTGTATTTGGAGTCTCTAATCTTTGTAGGTGTGTTTTTGCATTTTTCTTCAGCACCTGAAAAGCCTCCAGTGAAAGAGCAAGTTCAGCTGTCCTGACATGCCAGGACACTCTTATCGCTTTCATGTGAAGGGGCTTATCTGGAAGATAAAAGTGTTGTTCAGGTTTATATAATCATTCTTCCTGTTTTCCTCCTCAGGGTAAGCCATGCCTTCTGTTCCCTCGTCCAAAGAAACTCCCGTCAAAGGCTCCGTGTGCCCCCACATTGCCAAACTGCACCACACCAACGGAGAGGCCAAACTGCGGGAGGGCTCTTTCCCCATAAATGGGGTTGACAAGGTGACGTTGGTGGTGAACTCGGAGGAGTCCAGCAGAACCATCCAGATAGACAAAAAGAGCACCAGTCCCGAGAGGAAGTGGATCCGGCCCGACCTCCCCAGCCGCTGCAAGTGGAGCCTGGGGGCCTCAAAAGCCGACTCGCCTCATCCACAGATCCAAAGGTGAGCCCGGGTCTCCTCCCCCCCCCCCCGTGTGGGAGCCGTGCGGTGCCTGAAATGTGTGCGTTTTACCCACGCTGAGGCCGCTCTCTCCTCCAGGATCGTCCCTCAGCCCATCCTCCCGAACGTCCTGCAGAGGATCGGCGACACTCCCATGGTGCGCATCAACAAGATCCCAAAAGCGTTTGGACTCAAGTGCGAAATACGTGAGTAACTCACCCCCCTGGGGGAGACTCATTCCCTAAAACAGACGGAAGGTGTGACGGTCGGCGGTTTCATTCGGGATTTATTACTTGTTTACTCAAAGGACACTTTTATTGTCGAGTTGTCACCTGTCGAGCAGGTTTTAAATGTGACTTGTGCGTGTGTGTGTGTGTGTGTGTGTAGTGGCAAAATGTGAGTATTTCAACGCTGGAGGCAGCGTGAAGGACAGGATCAGCCTGCGGATGGTGGAGGACGCAGAGAGGGCTGGGATTCTCAAACCCGGAGACACCATTATCGAGCCCACATCCGGAAACACCGGTAACTCAGTCCATCCGCTCAGACCTTCAAAGCCGCGTCGAAGTTGTGTTGCTCTGAAAAGGGGTTCAGAGCGAGGGTGTTGAGGGGTCTGCTGATGTTGCCTGTTCAGGGATCGGACTGGCTCTGGCTGCCGCTGTCAAAGGCTACCGCTGCATCATCGTCATGCCCGAGAAGATGAGCATGGAGAAGGTGAGTCCTGTGAAACGACAGGTCCCGTGTGTCCTTTCCTCCACGTTTTACAGACGAGGCTTCCCCGAACCAGTAGAAACTGAGACTTGATGTCATTTTAATGGATTTTGATTTAATATTCTAGACTTTGAGCCTCTGCTGTTTCTGTTTGGCTGCATGTTCACCACTAGGTGGCACTGAAAGCCACACACAGGATTTTCTGAGTCATTCCCCTGATTCTTAGTCAACGTGTTTTTCTTTGCCCTGACATGAGTCTGGTTAAAACCCCCTCCCCGCTCTGGTGCCGCCCCCTTGCAGGTGGACGTCCTGAGGGCTCTGGGAGCCGAGATCGTCCGTACTCCCACCAGCGCTCGCTTCGATTCGCCCGAGTCTCACGTGGGCGTGGCGTGGCGCCTCAAGAACGAGATCCCCAACTCGCACATCCTGGACCAGTACCGCAACCCGAGCAACCCCCTGGCTCACTACGACACCACGGCCGAGGAGATCCTGGAGCAGTGCGACGGTACGGAGGGGCACGGAGCCGCTGCCCAGCAGGAGGGTCCCCCCCCCCTCCGTTTTGGTGCTCACACTCTGGACTCTGTTTCCCGCAGGAAAAGTGGACATGCTGGTGGCTGGAGCCGGCACGGGCGGAACCATCACCGGCATCGCCCGCAAACTGAAGGAAAGATGCCCAGACATCAAAGTAAGCCACTCTGTGACGCATCTGGAGGGCGGCGTGTTTTTCTGACCCGCCAACCTCAGGCCGGCCGTCCTCGCCCTCATTCCGCTCGACGGTCACTCGCCTTTTCGTCCCACTCGCAGATTGTCGGCGTCGACCCAGAAGGCTCCATCCTGGCTGAGCCCGACCACCTGAACAAGACCGACAAGACCCAGTACGAGGTGGAGGGGATCGGGTACGACTTCATCCCGACTGTGCTGGACCGATCTGTGAGTGCCGGTAGCCTTTAGAAACAGACAACAACAACGCGTTGCTTTCTTTGTCGCCAAGTGGAACGAATGCGTCTTCATTCGGTCGTTCCAGGTTGTGGATGCCTGGTACAAGTCCAACGACGAGGAGTCTTTCAACATGTCCCGTATGCTGATCCGGGAGGAGGGCCTGCTGTGCGGTGCGTCCACACACTTCTGCTCCACGTGTCGAGGCACAGCCACGCGGTCGCACTTCCTTTTGGGCATTTGTTAAAAGCGCTTCTGTTTTTGTGTTGTTGTTTTTTTTTGCTCTTTGGCGCAACAGGAGGCAGCTCCGGGACGGCCATGGCGGCAGCTGTGAATGTGGCCAAAGAGCTGAAGGAGGGCCAGCGCTGCGTGGTCATCCTGCCAGACTCCATCCGTAACTACATGTGAGACGCCCCCGGAATGCGTCTGAACCCGTTTCCGCCCAGCACGGAAATGCTGAAAGCCGTTTTCCCCTCCTCTCCAGGTCAAAGTTTCTGAGTGATAAGTGGATGGTCCAGAAGGGCTTCCTCAGCGAGGAGGACCTGATGGTGAAGAAGCCGTGGTATGTTATGAAAACCGGTCTCCACCAAAGATGGCCGCCCGTCGCTGCTCCCGTCCGAGCGTCGCTGTAAAAACCGTGTCTCTCACAGGTGGTGGAACTTGAAGCTGCAGGGCTTGAACCTGTCGGCCCCTCTCACCGTTCTGCCCACCGTCACCTGCCAGAAGACCATTAAAATCCTCAAGGAGAAGGGCTTCGACCAGGCTCCGGTGGTGGACGAGACGGGGTGAGGCTCTGCTCCGGGGATCCAAGTGGGATGTTTTTAGTGTTGCTGGGTTTTTTTCTTCTTCCCATGTTCATAGAAATCAATGCTTGTCTTCACTTGAACCCCTGCATGTGTGTGTTTGCAGGTTAATCCTGGGAATGGTGACTTTGGGAAACATGTTGTCATCGATCCTCGCCGGAAAGATCAAGCTGTCCGACCCCGTCAGCAAAGTCCTGTACAAGCAGTTCAAACAGGTCAGAAGATGCAGCACTGATCAGTTCATTCTTTGATGGATTGAAAAAAAAAAAGTGGTGTTTTGATTGGCTGACAGAGGCAGCCAATGAAGGGGAAGGGCTTCCAGGTAAAAGGGATTCAAAGTAGCAGGGCTAAAAACCAGACATGAAGGTTAACAAAGAATGTCTGTGAGGGCTCAGGAGAGATTTAGGAGATCGTGTTTGTGCGTGTCTCAACAATTAAACGTGTTGGGAGTTTGCATGGTCTCTCTGTGTCTGCGGGGGTTTCTGGGGTCTTCCTCCCGCCACCCGTAAACGTGCATGCTAGGTTAACTAGATCTGTGTTATTCCTGTGATGTGATGCCCACTCACCAGGCTCACTCATTCTAACTTTTACTTTTGGTGTTGGTAGATTGTTGAGCACTTTCTCTAATTCTCAGATCCGTCTGACTGACAACTTGGGGAAGTTATCCCGCATTCTGGAGACCGACCACTTTGCCCTCGTGGTGCACGAACAGATCCAGTGTAAGTCACTAGAGAGGGGACACCTTTGATGTTCTTCACGCTATTACTTTCTTTAGCTCTCTTCATATTTGAGCTAATCTTTGAATTGTTTTAGTTTTCCTGTTTTTTTCCATTGCGTCTCTCACCTGCTTACCATTGACCCCTGTTGCGTCAGGCTCTCTGTCACACCCACATTTGTAATGGCAACATTGGTCGAGCTCAGTGGGTCAACTTGCCACGGATGATTTTCATTCGCGTCAGAGTCCAGCCGCAGGACGAGCAGAGATGGGCTGACCGCTTTGTGGAGCTTGCACTGCTGCTTGTTGTGTGTGTTTGTTTTGCGTCATTAGGCAGAGTCAAGGTTTTCTGGCTTTTTTATCTGTTTGTTTGTTTCTTTGTTTACAGAACCTTTCCACATCACAGTAGTCCGGGGTTATCAAAGTTTTCCTTTTTATATATATATAATTTAAAATGAGTAGAAATGCTTTGGGAGTGTCACACTGCCCCCATGTGACCCAAAAAAGACATTTTGATCATCCAATTTTTGGCTGCGTGGGAACGCGCCTGGTTTGACGTGTTCTCTCTTTGTGTGCCTTTAGACCTGACAGACGGCTCCCCCACGCTGAGGCAGATGGTTTTCGGCGTGGTGACGGCTGTCGACCTGCTGAATTTCGTCACAGGCCGGCAAAGGGAACGTTCCATGTCAGAGTCCACCGACGAGCTGTGATCTGGGTGCCGAAACAGCAGAACTTTGTGCACAATGACAGCTCAAGTAGGAATGTCTTAAAGTAAAGAAAGAAAAAGAAAGAAACTGTGGTGTTATTTTTATGTTTTGGGTTGAGGTTTGTTTTTCTTTACTGGTTGAAAATATTGATTAACTTTTCTTGTTTTAAACTTGAATCTTATGGTTAAACATGCCATGCTACTACCACTGCTTTTTTTTTTAGGTTTGCATACTATTTAAATCGGTTAATTATTGTTGTATGTATTTGTAGAGCTGAAAGCAATGTTTTTGGTAAGTTTGTAATTTTTTTCGATAGCTTTTAGTTTTCAGGATTGGGTAGAGGCATTTGTGTTGCTGCAATTGTTAAAAAAACAAACAGATTATATCTGTTAAATTTTGTATTCAACATAAGAAATAAGAAACCAAATGGTATAAAGGCTTCATTGATGTAAATGATGGTGAGAACTGCTGTATAAAGGCTTATTTTGTCAGTGATGCTTAATGTATGTTTTTCTTTTCTTCTTTTGATCAGACAGTGTTAATTTCCTCTTCTGTTCCAACACAAAGCCTGTAATGTAACTGATGAGAGCTAATTTGATCTTAGATGCAGTGCGGAGGAAACATTTTGTATTGCTATTTTCTTCAAGGAATGTATGACTAAATAAAAATGAAAGAATTCCTTTGTCTTTTTGGTGTTTTTGTGATTACCGCGCATGAATCATGAAGTTGCTTTTGTTTCACAACTTAAAAAATTCCAGATATTTTAACTTTCATTTTCACTTCCTATTGGTGATCCAGATTGACTGTAACAGGCAGTTTTTGTTCTTGGATCAAAATGGAGCTCAATGATAAATCGAAGGGGTTCAAAGAAGACCAAACAGATGGCTGTACAATTTCTAAATGTCCATTTATAGAAAAATACATCCTTGTCAAGAGTCAAGATTTATTTTGCTGATGCAACATCAGGAGGTTGACGTGACAGAAAAGAAAAAAAAAATCACTGCCTCAGAGGTAAATGTGTTGCTTTTCTCCCTAGAATTACTCAACATATGAGTTCATATGTGAGGAAAGTAAATCACATCCGCTCATACTGTTTGGACATTTTTAAGTTAAAACTTTAATAATGCATCAGATTAGTTTTTGGAGACACTAAGAGGCCATCAGTGGTATAGCACTTTCAACTTTTTCTCTCCATGGCTCTAAGAGAACTTCACAACCACTCCTCCTTGTCTAAACTTGCCATAAAAAATAGGGCTAAGTAATTTCATATGTTGTGTACCCCACACAGAAACGTAAAACAATTCAGCTTAATATGACCCTTGGGCCATGTAAAAGCCTTATAAAAAATATGCATTTCCACACACAAAAAGCATCCCAATGCAGTGACATCAAATATACCAAAGCATGGAGGAAAAAATGGATTTTGTCTGTTTTTAAACAGTTGACAGCTATTCTGCTGGAGGTGATAGCAGTAAAGAATGTGTCAGCAATTTTCCTTTTTTTTAGACATTCATTAAAATTAGGACGTTATCTCTTAAATATGAAAATACGTTAAGCAAAAAATAAACAAATTAGTAGATATACGTAGAGCACAGTGTTTGTGTGTGACATGTGGTTTGTGGTACATGTAATGTCTTTGGGAGAACACCGTGGGGCGGGTATTGGTTTGGAGTGCCAGAAAACTCGAGACTCCGCCTCAACTAGCTCTCCTCTGCGTGCTATGGTGTCGTAAAGGAGCGCACCCCTCAACATTAGCGGCATCCAATCAGCACCGACAATGGTGGAGAATGTATGTGTTGTGTGGTAGCTGCTACGAGCAAGGCTAGGTAGGCAGTATGGCGGAGGAGAGCATTGCGAACGAGTTAGAGGGGGTAGAAAATCAATTACACAGTCTTTTAAGCCGCTGCTCAGGTGACGAATTCCGAATCGACAGTGAACTATTCTGTTCTGACTTTTGCAAGGTATGGAGGCGTAGCTTAAGTTTGTGCCAGGCTTGTTGCCAAAGATAATAGCATATATGTTAGCCGACTCCCCTCCCCCAGAACGGGCATTTACACAGCTAGCATTAGCAGTATAGCTCGTTAGCGTGAAGTCAACCAGTCGTAGTACAAACAACTATATCAATGTGCATAACATTCTTCAGACAGTGTGATTCATAGCCCATAGACATACGCAGTTAATTATGTACAAAGGTTTAAGTCGCGTAGTCGGTTGTAGTTTTACAGAAAGGTCTCAATGTTTAACTTGAATGCTAAGGCAGCTAGTTCGTAGTTTTACAGAAATGTCTCAATGTTTAACTTGAATGCTAAGGCGGCTATGTTTTTTAGTTTGCTGAAAAAACCTAAATGTACCATTTACGTTTGCTGTATGGTACGCTACATTTTTACCAAACCGTGCACTGGACAGTGTTTATCTCACATGCGACATGTTTAGCATTCTGTATTCTGTGGATAGAATAACAGAACCAAACAAACATTTCGTTTCTCTATAGACATCGAGTTATGCTGAATGTTGCACCTTTTCTTGTTTTTCTTTTCATGTTTTCTTAAATTAATTGCAATGGCGTCTCTTATCAGGCGACCTGCTGGCCTGGAACTCGAAAAATGACTTCCTCAACGTTTCTGGGATGTCTTAAAAACTTGGGGTTTAAGTCTAACGAGTGTTGCTTTTCCCCTCTATATCCATGACGCCACTTTTGGTAGAAGTACACTAAACGGCTGTTTAGGGATATTTGAAGTTAAACCCCTTGAGATATAGATTTAGTTGCAAGGATAAATAGATGTTAGTAAGGCATTGCAGAGAACTAAAAACCTGATCAAATAATTACCTCCAAGCATTTGTTTCTTGGTTGTGACAGGCCCAGTCAGATCTATGATATAATGGTGAAAAATCAATTTCTAAAAAAATGTTTTTTTGGAGGAAATAGAGGACATGCTACTGTAACTCTAAGACTGCAGTCCTGCCAAACTCTTAATCCAAACTTTAAATTGTTGTTGTGATTTTGTCTCTGACGTTGGTTTTTCTGTTTTCCCCTGTCTCTCGCTGCAGCTGGTGGAGGAGTTTACCTCCCACTGGCAGGTGCCATTGCCCCAGCTCAGGATCCTCGAGATAGCTCTCTGCTATTTTGCTCAAGCCTCAACCTTGTTCTCATCAAACTGTGATCATGTACACCGTACAGTCAGTAGACTGGCTTTGTAAGTACAAAGAGTGGGTTTGGCTTTAAAAAAGTTGCCTCAATTTTTTCTTACTGCTGTGAAAATGCTCGAAATGACATGGGTATTTGGAATTTTCTCTGCACACTCTGCCTTTTAGCTCCTTGGAAACACCATTTCTGATTTTGCAACACTGTTTTGTTGGTTAAATTCAGAATAGATCTTTCCTCAAAGAGATCCTTACATGCAGTGTTACTGTGCAGACTATAATCATCAGAACCTGTTTTGTGTTATGGTGTGTTCTCCTCACTAACAGAGTGAAAGTATGTGGTTCCTGCTTGTTTAGTCATATTCCATATTCCAATAGTTTTAAAATAATTTGCTATTGGAATTCAGAGTTTTTGTTTGCACAGTTGGTGCAGGTTAGATGTGATCTCGCAGTTTGATCTAATTTTAAGAGTGTTTTCGTTGTTGTCTGTCCGGGGGTTAATGGCAACACATTGTGCCACCTAACTGGATCTCTCGACTTTTAGTGGGAATCCAGCCAGACACGGTTGCTTGAGAGCGAAGATAAGGAGCTTAATCTATTTACTTCCTTAACGTTCACTGGCCATTTAGCTTTGTGACAATGGATTTCAGTGGCTGCTTCCAGCCTCTACTGATCTCCGTGGGGGCAAAAGAGGACTCCAGCATTATAAAGTCTGATGAATGTCATGCAAAGCCGTGGAGATGGTGGGTGAGGATTTCTACGTTGAAAGCTAACCTTTACGTCACTTGTTCTCTCTTCATTGTCAGGATTGTTGACATGTTGACTAATGAAAATACCTAGAAAAAAGCACACTTTAACACATCTGACTGAAGACATTATTTTGAAAGAACAACACACAAAAAACAATAACATTACAGATACTTCACTTTAAGCATTTTGTAGTTCACCCCTAACACTCTGAATATTCTGGTTAACTTTTATCGACCTTAAATCTTATTGTGCTTGTTGGATTACGAAAGCGTGTTGGCGAGCCAGGGAGAGGGCTGGCATCCTGCCAGTTGTTGACCCTATTCCATCTGTTATGGCGTCAATGCTGCGGCTTCCCCCACTTTTGCAATTAGCTGCATTCCTCAGGCTCTTAACTACAGTAATTTTCTGAGGATACAAATAAATAACTGCGAGCAGCCTCCTTTTAATGTTAGTGTTCTTTTTGAAAATGTGGATTTCTTCTTCTGATCTTGTCCAGGAGTGTTTTTGAGTTGCTGCTGTTCTTTGACCAGAAGGACTTTCACCAGGAGCCACTGAAACATTTCACTGCCACATTCCATGTGAGAACCAAGTTCAGATTATCTTCCACCAATGTTTGGTATTCTTGCTGGTTTTGAAGAGGTTGTGCCAAAACTTCCACATGGAGGCTTAGACCAGTTTTGAGATGAGGTTTCTAGAATGTTGGACATTTTTTTATTCCTAAATTATTATTATTGTTTTTTCCATGAAGACTTACTGTTGTGAGAAGCAAACTTTTTTGTTAGTTATTTAGCTTTTTGTGGTTTTGTCTTTTTCGTTCAAGATGTTTATTATTTTATTGGATCACAATTATATTAACACTCTTGTGCTCATGCTCTTCCAGGAATGCTATTTGGTCCTTGCAAAGTATCATAATGTTCCCCTACTTCAGATGGAGAGCTTGGTTCAGGGCGGTGGGCCATGGACTAGCCCAGCCTTACAGGCAATTCTCAGCGAGTCCAGTTTACCTCAGAACGAAGGTCAGTGACAAAGAAACACATTGATTTTGGAAAGTTGAAAATGGAATTCCTTTTCCATCACAGTCCTATTGAAAATTGTGCGTTGTCGGTCGGTATTCATGCGGGAATCTAAAAAGAAATGACATGTCTCTTGCTCTGCCTTCTTTCAGTGGATGATTACGTCAGCTCTGAGCTACCGGTGTTCCTTGAGCTTAGGGTGCGTTACCTTTTATCATGTGGATATACCAATGAGGCCATGGCATTGGCCCGAAGTTGCTTCCGGCATCCCACTGCAGGAAAAAACCTGTTCATCCTCCAGGTCTACCTCTCGTGGCTCTGCAGATCCTCGCAGCATGAACAGCTACGTAAAGAGGTTGGTGGATTGTGACGGCTTTAGGTACATCTCCTGTTACTTTAGCTGCTGCCTAACCTCCATTTTCATGTTTAGGTGACTGGCATTAATGGTAAAGATGCAGTACACATCATCTGTAGCTTGGAGTGTGAGGAAAAGGATGAGTTTCTGTTAGCCCTCAGCTCAGCCTTCCTGTCAGAGCAGCTCCAACGGGGAGACATGTACTGTTTGTGGTAAGTTAACGTCATTTGATGACAATGTTTTGGGAAAATGAGTTTTTACATCAAATACGGCAAATATAGCGTTATGAGCAACATTTACTCCCCTCGTTACATGAGTAAAGACCTTTCTTTTTCTGGTCAGCGACCTTGTCCTCGTGTGGGCGAGTCTTCATAGACGTCTGAGTACGACCAAGCAGACTCTTTTAAGGGAGTGCCATCAGCTGATGCAGTCAACCACAAATGTCAAATCAATCTTCCCATTCATAAGAGCTATACTTCAAGAGGTAAGGATACTTTTGTACATTGCAACAAGGCTCAGACTATTTGACTGAAGATGTTCCGTTTGAATGGGGCATTTATTTTCTTTGTATCTCACCAGATGGGTGAAGAGGGTATCCAGTTCTGTGTGGAGCTCTGTGCTAACGCACTGCAGTCGTGTCTACCCTGCGACGTCCTCACTAAGTCCCTCATCTACAAAACAATTGCCGGCCTGCTGCCCGACGATCTGGAAGTTTGCCGGGCCTGCGCTCTTCTTGTCTTCTTTTTGGAACAGACTGTTGAATCCTATAAGATAGTGTACCTTCTCTACATGCACCCTGACCAAGAGTATCAAATGGATGACAGCCCAATCAAAAATAATGTTCGCTTTGAAACCTTGCAGGTATGGCACCTTCTCGATTCTCATAACGATGGGTGAAACATGTAAAGCGTCAAAGACCGTTTGAGCAAAAGAGAAATTCTTGCCGTTACTCAAAAACTTAGTGTCACCCCTCTGTTTATTTTTTCTTTGCTTGCGTTTCTTTTTTCCTCTCAGAACCTTATAAGTTTTGTTTGTAGCTATTTTTCTGATGCACATCAGTTCAAATAAGGGTGTGCGAGACGGTGAATGTACATGTTAAAGGGTCCAACTGTTAAGCGTGACGACATTAACACCACGCTCTGTATTTTCAGGTCCTGAAGAAGGATCTCTACTTTGATCCAGAGTTGTGGAACCTCATTGCACTGCGGACCAACTGTTTGAAACTGATGAGTGAAAAAGTGGTTAGTACAGCTCTTGAAGAAATCATGGAGGACAAATGGATTTCCAAGTATTTCACCAAAGAGCCTACTCTCCCTTCAAGTCGATCAGCCTGTCGCAGAGGAAATAAAAGAGAACTTAATGCTGCAGCTAAGAGGCGGCATCAAAAGGAGGAGAGTGAGACAGCATCCAAAAGGCTTAAGATGGGCATCGATAGGAAACGGAAAAATGATCATGCCGTAAGGAAGAAAGGCAACCAGGGTTTCAGGGATTCCACCTCTGGACCTCTTAGACGCTCGTTTTGGCAACTGGACAGAATACACAGCAATGTAGCCCAAAGGTTTGACGAACATAGACGCACCACAAGGCTCTCGGAGAAGAATCCACCAAAGCGGAGGATTAGAAAACCCAAGTGGCTCTTAGAAGATTCAGGTACTCTTGAAGAAAATGTTCCAGTGAAGATCAAAAAGAATGGATTGAAACAAGCAAAGCACTTTCGATCGCGCGTCATGAAGCGATCTGAAACGGGTCCAATCAAAAACAATTCAAAACTCAAACCTTTAGCAAACTCTCATTTAAAGTCGAGGGAAAACGACAAGCACCGGAATGGTTTTTCAGTGAACTCTCCTGTACCATCCACCCCCCCGCAAATCATTCTGGAGCTTTCCCTACCGGACAATGAACTGATGGATACTTTTACTGAAGAGGCATGCAGCAGAAAAAGAGGTTTTCCTCAAGTGCTTCTTTACAAACCAATGCTAAAGCTTCCTGATAATTCACAACCTGCTAAGACTGTGCACCGCAAAGAGGTGGTTCTCAGAGCACGGGATGAAACCATGTTTATCCAACAGATACACTGTTATACTCGCAGACAGAAAGGAAAAGGCAGCGCGATGAATGTTCAAGGCTCCGTTTCAACAATCACGCGTTCTTCTGTGCAAGGAAGCCCTCCGAAGGATCATTGTCAAAACACAAAACTCGAGGAGAAAGCTGGAGCCGTCTCTCAGACACGAGAAGCTGCTCCGTTATCTAGATTCTCAGACAAAATCCTAAAAGCTCAAAATACAAAGACTCTGTCGAGAAGAACGTCCTCTGCAAGAAGACTTTCGGAAAGGTCTGCCGCTGAGATTAAAGTCGTGCCAAACGGGACCGAAGCAGACGATGTGACAAATTTCCCAGATTCAAGTAGGATCCCAGAAGCTAAACGTTTAGAAGTCACACAAAGCAGTACTTGTGCAAGAGATGATTCTGAAAACCTTTCTGCCGAGCAATCGCAGATTTTAGCAGCAGCAGAAGTGAACGAAGACGCGAATTTGAACGAGCCCTCCGCTCCTCAAACTGTTCCGTTGGCTCGCGAGCCCCCGGAGGAGCCTGCCGTTGAGATGAAAGTAACGATTGCTTCACAGTCTTCAGTTTTAGATAAAGTCTCAAAGAATTCAGCGGTAGAAGACCTTTCTAAAGCCCAAGTTTCACAGACAGTCAGGACAAAGAGGAAAGCTTCAGGGGAAACCCATCCAGCACCCATAAATGCCAACGTGTCCCACACAGAATCTCCGGATTTTATTCCCTCGCACCCACAAGACTTTGTATTCAGAAGTGGGGACCAACAACCCAAACCTCTGCCTACTCGGGGTGAAGACGGCAAAGGCGGTGACACAGTCAGAAGCAGCGAATCCACAACGGAAGTCACAGAGAGTTTGCCTGAAAATGCGAAAGGACATTTGTCTTGCAAAAATGAAACAAGCCCTACACAAAGTAAGCCATCTGAAACAGAAAGCTCTCATATTCCTACTGAAGAGGGCGGTTTGTGTGACATATCTGCTCTGACGTTGGTGACAGAAATGGTGACTGAACTTGCACCTGAGCAGCTTGCTCAGGATCAAGAGAGCAGCATGCTTCCATCTGCAGGAAACAGTGTTTTCAAAGATTTAAAAGGTGTAAGTAGCCCCAAAGGTCTTCCTAAAATTCGGACTATCTCTAGCTGCTCCACTCCTGAGGAGACAGACTCTTCGGTCAGCAGTCAGAGGACGAAAGGGAGGGCGAGAGCCCTAGATAATTCAGATATGCCTGAAAATAGCGAACCTATGGAAACTGTGCCGGAAACAGAGGAGTCCAAGTTGGAGTTCTGCTGTACCTTCTGCAACAAAGTCTTTAAAGGAAGTCGTGTTGTAGCACATGCGATGTTCCATTTTCGTAAAGACGAGTGTATGTTTTGTGGGGTGATGTTCAGAGATGACCTTTTGGCCATGATGCACATGTCCGATCATATTGAAAAGCTGAAGAGGAGCAAAGAGACTCAAACTTCTAACAAAGAGCACGAAGCCTCTGACTCCAAAGATACCTGCACACATAAAAACTCTGCCAAAGCAAATACCACAAGTATGACTCCCGGTTGCAGAAGTAGAGGGAAGCTTAGGAAATCGGCTGTCTGTGCTGACACAATGAGCACACCAGACGTGAGCCCATCTGAATCCAGAACATTAAGATCTAAGGACCGGGAAGGTAGTGCCACATCTTTACGTGAAAAACAAAATCCAGCCAAGGCCAAAACTGCTGCACGCAGGGTGAATGGTCACATTGGCAAAAAAGAATCAGCAAAACAGAAAAAAGATTCGAACACTAAGCAGGAAACTCAACAGCAGGATTTGAGAGACAGTAAAGATGTAGAGATGAACTCTTCCCCATCAGTGCCGGCAGACAAAAGCTTTGTCTGTTCCAAAGACGACGCAAAGAAAAAGACTGGATCTCAACACAGTCTGAAAACGGCCTCAAAACAAAAAGAGGGAGAAGCTGCGGAGCCACAGGAGAGTGTTTCCTGCCCATTGGATGGATGCTCTTGGTTTAAAGACCTGTCGAAGAACAGAGTGGCTCTCTTGTACCACGCTCTTGACGATCACTACGGTGAAGTCGAGCCTCTAGAACTGGCATTCCGTGTGGGAAACAGTAAATGCAGTATTTGTATGAGAGTTTTGATGAGCTTCGAACACTTCCAGCACCACGTTGAACGACACAGACTCACGCCACGCCATCCTTGTCTTCACCGGGGGTGTACGGCCAGGTTCAAAACCGGAATGGAAATGAGACGCCACTCCAGGAAGCATAGCCCGCTGCAGGCCACGTGTTGCCTTCCTGGTTGTTCCCAGCTGTTTATTTGTCTTTGGGCACTTAACCTTCACGAAAGGGACCACTATACCTCCAAGTCTGCTCAACCCGACGACAACACGGACATACAGGCAGGTGAGAAATCTTGTAAAACCCCAGTTGGGAAGAATCGGCAGAGTTCGGAGGACTTTAGTGTGCCCACAGCTGAGGAAAGGACTGAGGGAGCAAAGGCTGCATGCCGGTTCAAAAATCAAAGGCGGCTGAGAAAAAAAGTCATGGCTCCTCTCTCAGCATACACATTTCTCATTAAAAAGGAGCCGAAAGGGAGAGCTACGAGCACGGATTCACACAAGGTAAAGAATGTGTCTAAAAAGGACAAATTTTCACAACCTGCCGTTTCTAATGTTGAATCAAGGCAAGCCTTAAGGAAAGCCCAAGTAAAGAATCCAACTCCAGCTGCTATCGGGGCGCATAGAGTTATTTCGTCCACGTTGCAGAAACACAACAGAAGAAAGGATCAAAACCTGAAGCAAAAGCAGTCCAAAGGGCACATGAAAGGTTTAAAAAGAAAAGGCCGCCCCCCAAAGTTGAACAGACCTGGGCATGATGAGAACACATCTGATCAAAAGCGTCCTCCTTCAGAAATCAAGATTGTGACAACAAGTAACAAGATAAAAGTGGAAAAAGAGAAGACTCTGCAGCTCAAAGATGAAAGCAAATCAACCACCAAATCAAAGGATGAGTCAGAGACTAAGATCCCAGAGGGCAGGCAGATTACAAAGAATCAAGAACAAAATGTACCTTCACCTACCAGATTCAAACCATCAAGACCGTCAGAACTTAAAACACAGAAGAAAAATAGCAAAACAGAGATGAGACTGCATAAGAAAAAAAATCATCACATGCCTTCAGACAGCCGCAAGCCCGCGAAGCACAAGGAAAAGAGCAAAAAGGCCACAAGGAAAGAACGTCATAAGCAGGAATCATCTGCAGAGCAACAAGTTGAGACCAGAGGAGCAGAGATGGAAGGTTTAGATGACGGGAAGTCTGAAAGGGAAAACACCAGTTCAACCCAAAGTGATTCAGGTAACTGTGCGCTCTCCATCCCGCCTGAGGTTTCAGACGTGCCACCCACCCCAGAGAAAACGGACCAGGAGCCCATCGACGCAAAAGAAGGGAAGGATCGGGCTGGCAAGGCGAAGACGTCCAAAAAGTCGGCTCAGCTGCAACCTGAGGATGAGGCCACAGAAGAGAGTGTTGCTGGTGCAGAGGAAAGGGCAAGCAAAGGGCTCCTCGCCTCGGCTGCGTCCACGCCAGCAGACATTTTAAACTGTGCTTCCATCAGCCCGGAAGACAACAAGCGGGAGGTACATCAAAAGGAGAAATCCAGAGTAACCAAGGCGGCAGAAGTTGGTGAGACAACTAAGAAGCTCAAAGATAAAACAAAAAAGGCTGTAAAAAAGAAACAACAAGACCACCAGTCATCGCTGACCAATCCTGTAAAGTCTGCTGACGTCCAGCCAGAACCAGAGAAGGGCTCTGCAGGGGCAGGAGCTCCAGCAGAGGCGGCGCCGTCGGAAACTGCTGGCTGCTCTCTGACGGTCAACGGACAGGAACCAGGAGAAGACCCGACCTCCAAGGATTCCGCCGCGGAGTACAGGAAGAGGCCGTATATGCGTCCGCCGCCCACGGCCTATCTGGACGAGAAGTTCATCACCATGCCAAAGCGGAGGAAGGAGACGGCGGCGTCTTTGCCTTCACATGGCGGCGCCCCTCCTGGCCAGGCGTGTGCGGCAGAGGCTCTGCAGAGGCGGCGCTGCGCAAAGTGCTTTGCTACTTTCAGCTGTGCTGAGGAGCTGCAAAGCCATCTCCAGCTCCAGAAGTGCTCCAACCTGTTTGGATTCGACTCTGACGACGAGGGTGAGTGTGCCGCCCCCTGAGGCAGATCCAGATTTAGTTTCCAGGGACAGCTGGACAGTATGTGAACCAGTTTTAATGGTACAAACAGTCCTTCGGGGCCAGGGAGAGCACCATCCAGACAGACAGGTTCCATTCCTGGCAGCTTTAAAAGCCAAGGCTGGTATAAAATTTTGTGCTGATGTGAAGAAGCAATCATCATAGTGGATAATGTAACCTGAGCTCATAGTCATATCATTTTTCTGTTCTGTTTCAGGCAACGGTTGAAGTTCTTTAATCAAATGAAGTGAGCGTTTGGATGCCGGGCAAACGGCCTGTGGATGGATCTTACCTCAGCACATCTCTGGATCGCTTGTTCATTTCTGCGGGCAAAAATGTGGATCTGCACCTGCAGACAACTGACAGTAACCAGACTTTTGCTGCAGTCTCTGCCTGTCCGAGGCTCTCGAGTGAGGAGAACGCACGACACGTTCCTCCCTTGTGACAGAAAAGACCCTTACTGAACTGAACTGGTGGGTTAGTTTGAGGGACAGCTAATACTGAAGTGCCTGCTCTGGAAGCACCGTGTTGTTTTCCAGCTGCTTCAACTGCTCTGGTGACCAAGCGTGGTGGCTTACAAACTGGACTGCTGAAAACTGTGAGGAAACAAACTGACACAAGGCTTCATATCGTTCACAACAGTAAGCCATACAATGACATTGTTAGCTTTTTGCACTCTTCACATGAGACCTTTGAGTTGATTTATACTGGAGCTTTAGGGATGTAGAATGAAAGAGGCATAGAAATGTTCATGTTTTATCATGACTTTATAAAGTTGCTGTATCAGAAAGAGTTTTTAAATGTATAATGATCGTTTGAATACTAATTTTATTTCTTATTTAAAACAATCCTCACGGGTCTCATTAGCTCTGTTCCGTTTGGCACAATAAGTAACCAGTAGGGGTCAGCGTGCACCAACTTAAATTCTCTCCCTTTTCCTGTTTGCAGAATGCAGGTGGATAACAGTTTGGTTTTTACTCATGAGGATGCTCTCCGCTCCTCATTTATTCCTGCAGTGTTGATGCAGTTTACAGCTAAGTTCAGTTAGCAATAAGTTTAAACCCGAACATTTGCCGGTGTCCCACTCTTTTTGTCATTGTGTTTATCATTCAGCAACAATGGATCCTTTGCTGACAACTGGCTGATATTATGTTTTCAAGATTTTAAGCTGAATATTTATAAGTATTTGGGTGAATGTTCTCTTTCAGGATTTTGTTTTGATTTAAGCAGAAACGGATGCGGTGATCGTAAGCCACCACAGGTATGCGTTACGGGGCGGCCGCACGTGTCTTTCAGGGGCAGCAGGTTTTATTTATTATGTTTCTTCTTCTTTTTCCTTTTTTGTTGTAAATATTTCAAGAGTTTCGGTGACTTACTGTATAAAGGGGGACATTGGAGTTGGGTTTATATTTTGTTCTTGAAGAAAAAAAATAAAATGATTCCACTGCAGGCATTTGTTCTGGTTTCATAGTGGAGTCGGTTACAGCAGAGAAGCGACTCAACAGAGGAGAGAACGGCTTCAGAGGGATGAAATGGGCTGGCGTGAGATAAGATGGAGTGCTGGACAGCTGCAGAGGATGAGAAAGATTATGTCTTGAATAGATGGATTAAGATTCACGAGCTAAATCTGGGCTTTCAGCAACCTTTTCACACGTCATTTTTGCCAGCGTGCACGATTCAAAGCCCTCTGGGTACAGGTCGCCCCTGTACTGACAACTTTACTTATTCAAGAACATTTACAGAAAACCTTAGTCTAGTCTTAAAGTCTCATTTACAGCTTGAAACAGATTCATTTTCTCAGGGCTTTGAAGTTTGTTTTGCAGAGATTGCGATAAAGCAAGGCTGAGAAAAAACATTAAATTCCAAATTGTCACTGTGACGGAGCAACCAGATGATATGGTTACTGTATAAAATGTGTAGGGGGGAGTTTATCTCTGGATTCTAGACCAGATGAGGGCTGAGAGAATTCAGCTGGCAGACAATCACAAAAGACAGACGGAAAGATGATCTCTTTGTTTTTCATCAGAGTCCAAATTGTTTGTTGTGGTAGGAGGAGACGGCTGAAGAGGAGGGTGAGGAAGAAACAGGAGACCACTGGAGGAGTCAAGTTCTCACTCAGAGTTTTGAATGTGTGCATGTGAGTAGCAGAGTTCCTTTTACCTAATTAGAAATTGGAACATGAGAGATGTGACATGCAATGCGCACCCCTTAAGGATTCTGAAAGGAGACGAGACAAAACGTATTATTTCACACAATCTCGCTGACAAGAAAACCTCTGCTCAAAGCAGCTTCAGATATTATTACTGAACACAATGTTACAAACTAATTGAATCCCATGATTTTAACCACTTGTCCAAACACTTTCAGCAGGAATGGACAGCATAATATTTAAAAAACCAGTCATCCCCAAATTTGCCAATTCTTACATTCTTCATATACTTTAATACTTTCCCGTTGTGTTGCTTCTATTTTCGACTGTAAATATGATAAACAAAAGAGGCCCATCAGACAAGGCTTTAATCAGTACTTAATAATTTAAGCATGAGAGAAGAATGAACAGGTGTTTTATATCCACACAGCACAAACACTACAATCGTATTTACACTGCAATAAATCTTCATCTTAACACTTTGTATATTTCTGTAGACATTACACATTTCTTGAAGCTGTTTAGGCTTCTAAATGACTTGTTAGAACGGACGTGTGACAGTGCTGGCAGTATTGACTCGGATTCTCCAAGAAATTTAAACGGACACCAAAAATATGAATCATTTCACTTCACAACAGTTATAGAAACTTAAATACAGCAGTGTACGACTTGTGGGGATTCCATCATACACATTTCACTGTTTTAAATATGCAAACATTGATTATATACAAATATTATTACTTGGAACATGTCAAGATAAATTAGCGGAAGACCCCGAACTGCGTACGTTTTGACTGGATTCAAAGATGTGACGGCACTGGCTGAGGAAGAGCAAAGCAGCAGAGTAGACAAATGAATCAGACTTTTTTGTAAAAAATCAGTTTTCCTATTCAAACCAATTAAAAAAATATTACACCTAAATTGGACTGGGAGATTCCCTTTATCTCTCAGCATAGCCAGAGCAGACGCAGTGAAGTGTAGAAAAACCCGATGGATTCACCTCGAATAAGAGGGAACAGAGGGCCCGGTGACGTGCTCTGAGACATCACATGATGCAGGTACTGCTTTCTTTTTTCTTTTTCTTTTTTTTTTTTCCTCAAAGCACGGAGACAGTTTCATTATTATCTTTTTCCTCATCCCGCCTCACACAGGCATGAGCCCTGCCGCTGCAGATGGTTGGCACTCTTGCTCCAACACGTTGCAGCTTGGGTCTGCGTCCGATTGGTCCGCCCTGCCTCGTCATGTTGTTTTTAAGGTAGTTTTCCAGGTGAGATTGGTTGCTTCCATTTGGGATTGGGTTATTAGAGGAAGAAGAGGCAAACACATAGCCTGTTTTTGGTCTTTGTTTCCTCTTAAATCAACTAGTTGGGCTGGATTTGTGGGACTTACCCTCTGATTTTACAGAAAAGTTCTTTGATCTTTGGAGAAGTGACAAAGCACAGGCAGCATGAAATTCCCCCAAGTGTTGCTCGGAATATGTTGTCAGCACATGTATATATTCAGTCCCACTTCCTGCTTCTTTCTCAGGAAGCACTCTCATAATGCTGTCCCTTTGTTCAGGCCGAAAGGTTTGGGGTGAAAGGTAAAAAATTGCGGTATCTTAAGTTTCTTCTCATTGGGATCTTGCCAGTTAGTTCCACTTCATGTAGTTGGGAATGCACTGACAGACCTGGTAACTGTAGTAAAAGCCCTCCTCGCACACACGTCTCGGATTTCTGCAGGGAAGCCTGTAACAGCTAGAGACAGGAAAGACACAGATGAAAGAAAATGAGTGTTAACAAAAAAATTTGAGAGAAAGGGAATTCAAAAGCAGGTGGGAAAGAAATGCATATTTTCGAGGGGTTAGGTTGAGAGGAAGCACAGAGGAGACATAAAATGACGAGACATGGGAGATTCTATTCTTTTGGCATGCACACTATGAATTATTCACATCACCACATCCCTTTTGGGTAAAGCCTGATCCAAGTTGAATTTGCATGTTCATCTAAAGAGTCTGTGTGAGAAAAAAGGGAATATTTTTTCAGGGAGGGGAGGAATCTGGGAACTCTCAACTTCAAAATCTCAGCAGGTGTTGGGTCGCCTGTGGACTACCTCCTGTGACCAGATGTTGAATCAAACATGATAGACAAAACAATAAAAAGACTGATGGCAAAGAACAATAAATGCTCTATGTATTGGAAAAAGCAGGATTTTTGTGAGTCCAAGTGTTTTCTGCTAGAATCCATCCTTAATGAGAAGCCGCTAACAGAGATGCTATATTTGCCTGATGTTTAAAATGATGGATTTGGGGATAAATTATGGAGATGAATATGCTGCCAAATTTGGTAACCACAGGTAGTGTAACTTCCAAGACATGGCTTGAGGGAGAAACTGAGCAAGAATGAGATCATTTACTTTAAGCTGCTTTTTTCTTTGTCTCGGGGTAGGTAAAACTTGGGGATGAAAGGAGTCTAAACTGCGCGAAAGGTTGCTCGAAGGCTAAATCAAATCCAGTCTGGTTGAAAAAGGCCATCCGTGATGTAGTTTTGTGTGCAGGGACACCTGCACAAATATGATCTTCTGCAGCTGTCAAACACAGTGGTGGGTCAATCATGCTTTGAGCTTGTGTTGCAGAGGCAGAAAAGAAAAAGTTTCATAACAAACTTGACATTTGAAGAAGGTGAAAATAATCATCTTTTTATATTTAGTTTATTCCCAGCGACCCAGTTTTTTATGAGCAGCCATATACTTTGGCCTGTCGATGAATGGGAAAAATATTTTTTCTCGAAGGGATTACGGTTTAATTTAGCTCAATGCAGACGAGAGATTTCAAGTTAAAGCGTTGAAAGGAATCCCAGTTAAACTGCGAAAAATATCTCAATAAAGTTTCCTTAAGCTGAGAAAGTTTTTGAAAGCCAATATCAAAGGTTACTTGTCTGTATATGCAAGAGCGTTCCCACACGTAAAGCTGCGAGTATAAATCATGTAGATCAAAGCGCAAGTCGGCCGATGTGTTTTCATTCTGCCTGTCACTCCATCTGTCTCTGAGCTGTCTGCTCTGCCGACTGTCGTCAAGTTCAGCGAGTCTGTCCGTCCCTCTGTAGGCCTCCTGGGTCAGAGGAAGGTTGATCTCTTAAGCGCTGACTGTGGGAACTGCGACACACATGTTTGAGGAGGCCCGATGTCCATAAAAGGTCACATGGAAACATGTGAACGAAAGAAATCGAAGGGACAAAGTTGCGCGGAATGTTTGACATGTCCATTGAGATTTCAGTGCAGTAGTTCTGCTTCACTCTCCTTCCTTATCTCACAGCCCCCAAAGGCAAAGAAATGCGACGACACCCCGAAGGCACAGCGGTTATCTGGGACAAGCACATACGGGAGCAGCTCTGTCAGGATAACCCAGGTACAAAAAACTGTTGACCACCTTTCTAGCGTCTGTTTTAAAAACAGCAAGCTCTGTGTCTCAAGATCCTAAATCAGCTCTCTCCATAAGTCATTTATGATTTATGAATGCCGCTCACATATTTTATGCTCATTATAAAAAAGTCAAATGAGAAAAAAGTGAAACTAGAAATCCAGCTAACTTAAAGCAGCAGTGAAAATGCTTACTTTGAAGCAAGTTTGATGGCTTATTGTTTTCGAGTGTGTACGTGATAGTTTTGGGCTTGGGATCTCTTTCCACAGAGGGCAGAACCGGCGTCTCCTTGCGCACCCACCTGCAGTTGTTGGGGTTGAACCTCTTCCCCTGCCGCAGACAGGACTGCGGGCTCTCCCTGCACTGACACAGGCAGGTGTCGGGGTTGAGGGGCTGGTTCCGCGGACACTCGGCCGCACACACGCAGCCGCACAGCTCGTCGTCCCACCGCTGGCCGGCAGGACACGACCTCCCCTCACCTTGCCCTTCACACTGACACTCACCTGAGACGAGCACAACAACATCAGTTAGAAAAGAAGCGGATTTTAGGAGTTCAAATCCAGTTGAAATAGACATTGCATAGCACCGGGATAGCGGGCGCTGTTTGGATGAATACACATTCGAAGGTCATGCTCTTACTTGTTAGCATGAACCTTTGTTCCCAAAAGCTGCTATTTTATTTGGTTCCTTCTTGATCTTAATCAGCTACTTTCACATCAACAGCTCTTTGGGGTATTTACAGTAAACGGGTCTCTGCGAAACCGACGCCTCCCAGCCAACACGTGTTCACGGGCTCTCTGCAGATGACGAGGGAGCTTATATTAAAGCCCATACCAGATTTCCCATGGGTCCTGTCTTGACATCAGTGTTAATTACCAACATTGATGCTCAGTTTTTATAGTGAACCAAGATTAATTGATCTTATATAGATGAACCCATGTGCTTTCAGGCTGGGACCACCCAGTGCCCAGTGTGATCCTCCATCAAACCCACACGGGCAATTAACACCAGGCCCACACCAACCCCCTCGAAAGCCCCATATGGAGCTTCTTTTTTTTATATTTCCAATGCAATGATCCCATTTCCACATGTAGGTTGGCAGCGGCATGTACATTTGAATAGTTTTTGCTTTTCTCATGTCAAGTCATGTTTGAGGGTACATCTCCTTACAGGCGTTTTGGTCCAGTTTCCAACCTGGATCACAGCTGGCTTCTGTGAGTCCGTTTTGACAGACGCACTCACAGGTGGACTCCTCCAGAAACCTGTTGGGCCCGCACAGAGCCAGCAGACCTGAGTCCAGTACCTCTGGGTAAATATATAAAAAAGAAAAGTTTAGTCAATGTATTTTTTATTTTTTTAGCTTTATGTAACACGCTTCATTCGCTGTCCCCAGTGGATGAAACCCAGTAGCTTTGGTGGGTGGCCTCTTGTGTCACTCTGAGGAGAATATTTTTCCAGAATTTGCTTTACAACTCTTTTGATGGCCATACAATGGGGTAGAGATGAATTCTAAGATGAGGGTCAAAATTAGAATGCTGTCCTTGAGTTTATTTCCGACAGTCACATATCTGCTCTGGCTTGCAGCTCATTACCAGATTGGCACGATAATCAGCTGAGCTGAGCTGAACTTTATAAACATTGTACCTGCTAATCTTCAGCATCTTGATGACAATGTTTAACCGAAAGCCTCCCAGGGCTAATTATTGTTTCACGGATGCCAGTAGGGCAAGCAGCTACAGCAACTGTGGTTAAAGTAGCAGGGAGGCTGGTATTTTCCTTTTCGAGACTGTCAGCGAAGCTTGTCCCATAACTGTGGTAATTGCAAGGAGGAGAAAGCTCCTCTGTTTACATTTATTACACCAGAGTCACATGTGGAAACTTTATTCTTCCGCACAGTTCCCGGGAGACATCAGTAAAACATATTCGCTTCACTACGGGGAACATTTGTATTAGAGACGTGTGCAATTGGACTTGTCAGCACTGAATTATCTGTCAATCCCAAAAAGAGAAATTGGTTTATCCTGCATAGAAAGGTCATATTTTGAAAGACTGGCCATATTCAATTATGCCAGTGTAATATTGAGAGTTTTCTAAGCGGCAAAAGATGCTCGTGCATGATGGTACAAGTAAAATACCACAGAGACATTCCTGCCGCTATTGAATCAACACTACGTCAGTGGAGAAGTTGTTTCAAATCATTTAATTTTCTGCCCTCGTTTGACAGTGGCGGCTAAATGATAAGGACGAGAAAAAAATCTGGCTTGCGTCCCACATTCAGCTCAGAGGACATGGATCTTCCTTGTCTGCACCAGAGCTGCGGACCAGCAATTTAAAAGGCACTGAGTTTGATAAAAAATTTGATTCCTCTTTATCTTACCTTCCTTGACTACTTTTTATTTGACGTCTGTCTTTGGAATTCAGTTAAAACAAAAATTTGGAGTTGTATCTTTTGTCCAGGGCCCTGCATGTTTTGCGCGTTTCCCTGCTTCAGCACACCTGCCGGCCATTTCTGGGCCTGCGATACGCTTCGGTAGATTGTGAGGACAGGCTGTTGAGCAGAGCCATCTGATCTGAGTCATGTGTGCTGGTAAACCGCTAAAATATGCAGGGCTGTGGCTGCAAAAGACCAAAGTGGCGGCATGCCGATTGCCGATTGGTTCACAACCTTTTCGGCATGATTAAAGTACCAGTAATATACTTGTTCTCCTGTATTCGGACACGATGATTCATTTTGCTTTCATCCAAAGAACCCGAGGAATGTGATGAAGACAAACGTACCTGTTTCTCTCTGAGAGTAGTTCATCATGTCTGCGGAGACACAAACGCAGTTCTCGGGATCCCATAAAGAGCCCGAGGCACAGGGGCGTTCAGGAGGGGAGCACCTAAGCACACACACACAGACGCACGGATGTCTGTAATGAATTTGTCCATAAACAGACGTGTCATCCCCTCTTACTCACAGGTGATCTGTCGCTGCCCGCCTGATGATGGAGTGCAGCGGTCGCTTGGACAGGCACTCGCACGAAGTGTGGTTGACGAAGGTCACCATGACGACTGAGCGATCCATCCTGGGTGGGGACAACTCCATCAGCTGGAAGGGAAGAAGACGAATATGAGGTACGCGTGTGAAACTGCCGCGAGGCAGAGAACCCCTCTCCGCTCCTCCTGCTGCTGCTCGCATAACAACGTGACCGGTTATGTGTTTGTTGATGTCATTTTTGAGAGATTGCGCAACTGTGCGTGACTGCTCGTATTGTATTGAAGGGATGTCCAGTCACAGCCTACTCCCAAAGGAGTAGGCTGTGTTTTGATATAATTGAGGGAGTTGCATAAGTGGCATATCGGTTTCTGCCCTACTTTCCGAGGCAGTTTGAGGTGCGAGAGCAGAAATGAGTCGTGTAACAGGTACAGTAAGAAAGGCTTACAGCACGACTTACTGTTTTGTTGACAAGCGTGTAACTCGTGTTGGTGCAGTAAAAAGCCTCGTTGGCGCAGCATCCACCGCAGCGATGCAGCGCAACACAGCGAGGGAGGTAGAACTGACTGGTGGATTCTGGGTATTCTTTGGCAACCTCAACGCAAACCTCCCTGGGCTGGCAGGAGGTACGCTGGATCTCCTCGAGGATGACTGAAAACACAATGCAGTAAATGGATTTCGTTTCCCGGGAGTCTCGACGAAAGAGAGACTCGTGGGTAGGAAATCATCAACCTTTTAAATACCACCCATTTAAATCTGTCTCTGGTGCAATAAAAGCGGTCTGGCAGTCCATAAAAAAAACGATTTATCTGATTACATCACCACTAGTTGTTCATAAACAAGTCATGTTTCCAGAGACAGTGGTGCATTTAGTCAAATGGATTTCATACAATCGAATCAGTTTTTGTTGAATATTTGAAAGTTTTGTTAAATTGATGTCAATTTAGAAAATCTAATTTACCAATTGACCAAATAACTTTATTATGAAAAAACTTTTAAAAAAGACAAAATGTTTCTGATCTGTGACATTGGCCTTCCTATTTAATCAGATTAAGTGTAGGAGCAGAGGATACCGATTGTTGGACTTATTTATGTGATCAGTCTATGCTCTGTGTCAGCAAAATTTGAGCTGCTCAGAAATTTGTCTTGATTGTCTGACGCTGTTTTACATAATAGCAATAATTTCTTTATGAGGACAATCTGAAATGCAGACTGCCCCGTAAGGCACACTGTCCCTCAAAGAGGCGCCTCTGTTGGACTTTTGTGACATCCACACCATAGATATTTAACAGACCAAAAAAAACTAACTGATGACTATTTTCTGTAAAAGGTTAGAAACAGGTGGTGAACCACCATCCACCCTTGCCTGGAAAGTCACTGGTTTGCCCTTTTATAGCCAATCCTGACACCCTCATCTTTCACCAGTCAGTTGATTGCTGAATATCTAAGCGCTATTTTTATAGTGTGATGTAATAAAAAATGGTCCAAAGAAATAATCTTCAACGAAGGTTAAAGGACATATGTTAAGTTTTTGTTGCATTTTAGGGACTTTAGCAAAAAAATTGGATTGTGTACTGAGAAATCTGGTGGCTTTTCACAAATAATTTGGCTGTTGTTCAGCTTATCAAAAGTTTACTTAATGTACAAAGAAACAGACAGACTTAAGTCTTTGTCCGTCCAGCATGTTTTACCTCCCAAAGTTCCATCCATTTTGTAAAGGGCCTCTTCCCTCAGTTGAACCCACATATCATCATTGTCACCGTGAACTAAGGGGCTTGCAGAAGATGTTGAAAAGGAAGGAGATGAGGACGAAGAAGTATGCCATGATTTCTTCCTCATGCAGTGCTGAATCAAACCATATTCTGGGTAGAGCAGCTGTAGGAGCTGATCCATGCTTGTCACTGTCTCCAGGCTGGGCTGGTCATCCACTTGAGTTGGAGCCTAGAAAACGAGAGAAGATGGAATCCAGGGATTTGGAACAGAATCGCAGTTCTTTTAGTTTGTGGCCACAAAGCAGTGAGGAGAAAAAAAAAAACACAAAGCGGGACAAAAAGCTGAAAAGTGACAGTAAGAAATGAGCTGAAAAGTTGCAAATAAACTGATTTGGTCAGAAGCTTCATTTTTAGTTGTGGAAGACATTGAACATCTTTTTATCTTGTTTCCCTTAAACGGAAACATTCTTGACTCTGAAGGATTCCACACAGTTTGTTTTCAGTGGAAAACTATTAGATACTACAGAATTTACAGTATGAGATTTGTTGGTTTGTGCAACAGTACCTCATACCTCAGCTACCAATGTGTCGTAACATGTTGATGTTGGCTACTGTTAGCTGCCAGAAGCATGTGCTTCCCCGATTCACCGACATTGTTGCTTTGACTCCACAAAAATTGTGGAGACAAATTACTTGTCTTTCTACTTTGGTTTGTCTCTTTGTGACATAATCTGAGTGGTTCATTGATGTGAAATTAGAAAAACTGAGAAGTCATTTCCATGTGCTGTAGCCCCCATCAAGCAAGTTTATCTTTAATGTGTCCTTTGTATCAGTTTAAAGTTCTGAAGGAGTCCATTAATGCAGCGTTTCCCCACACAAATGGACCAAATTGATCATCGGGTCCTTGTGGGAAATCTCGGTTTACAGTAAAAATCATTCCAGGAACTTCTTCCTACTATGAGTCACCACGATAACGATATTTTCTCTCAACACGATAGATCATTCTTTCCCACTCTTTTACTGCCAGAGTTAATAAAAGCTGAGAGATTATGTATCATACAAGCTAACAGAAGCAGCGCCGTCATCCTTGGGTTATTAAATGTCAGCTGAGAGCTGTTTTGTTCTTGAGTGGCATCTATTAATTGTTTATGGAGGGAATGAGAGAAGTTGTTTAGTTTCCTAGAGTGGGATGGGGCAGGTTGGCACAGTTGGCGCGACAGAACCAGATCCCCGAGCCGCTTTCAGTCTCTGTGTTTATCTTTTTGATCTCCACCTACCTCACCTCTGATCAGCAACAACTTATTACCCATCATTAATTACCCCGTCTTTCTTTGTCACAGTAACGCTATCCCCATTCCAGGCCAGATATGGTATCTTTGTGGTCTTTATTTCTGGAGTTTTTTCCTCTTCTCTATGATCACAAAAATAGAATATCGTAGAACTTGTGGGGATGGCACTGACCACCCCAAAGAAAAATGACCATCCCTGGATGGCTTTCTCCTGCCTTTAGGGCATCAGTGCTGCCCATGCCGGTGTGAAGAGTTTATTCACCTTTACACAATTTTCTCAGAACAATTTCGCTTTTAAAAAAATATATATATACAGATTTCTTTCTATTTTTCACTGAATACCTCCATCTGTCGGGTATGGCAGTGGTTTAGTTCTGGAGCTGAAACGCACCAATAACTTCTGCTGCACTCAAACATGTGCTCTTTTTCTAGTCAGGCGATGGCTTAACATGAAGTCATTGCTGAGGGACGGTGAGGTCATGATGGACGGACAACCATTTGTGCAGCACACTTGGGTGTGTCCAACATAACATACTGCTGGCACACGGAGATGAAAATGTACACACACCCATGCATTTATTACTCTGACGGATTGACGTCTGAAGCCGTTTGCATCAGATCCCCGGTCTGCCCCGTCCCGTTGAATTGCAAGAGTCTCGCTAATGAGTAGATGTTGCTTTCCTAACCATTTACAGGCCGATGAGGCTCACAACTCTGCAGAATCCTCCTTTATTCATGCCACAAGAAGCGTCCACAAACACGCCGTGAGGATGATGCGTGACGGGGCCATCTCGTTCAGATAAAACCGGGATCCCTCTCGCGCCTGATTGGCACAGAAAATATCTCTCATTTGTTTAGGATAGCTTGTGTATAAAAAATTTGATGATGTCTAGGGCCATATGTATGCAGAAATATTGGGGGGGGGGGGGAACGTGGCAGAACTGTTTTGTCACTGGTGGATTTGTACGTAATGACCGCTTTGCGTGTGAGAAAGATGCCCTTGTCAACTCGTCCGCCTCAGCTGACATAATTCCTGCTAGATATTCCATCGGTCAGTGCTCTGATGCCGAATGTGTCGCTTACAGTGCTGTTTTGGGATAGAAGTCACTCCCTATGGAGGATAACGCATTATTTTCATTTCATAAATAACGGTGTAACCAGTTCCACCATGTATGGAGCCATGTGCTTTTGTGATGTCATTTATTTAGCACTTTTACCATTAATTTCTCTTTCATTTGTAGTTTATTGGACATTCAGAATCTAGATAACCCTGAATCTTCTCCAGCTCACATTTCAAAGAAGGGAAATAGAGTAACGTAATGTCCTACCTCGGTGCCCATGTCTTGAGTTTGGTAATAGTCTGTGAAGTCTTGTCCTGGGCACAAACAGCTGGTATTAAGAATCCATAGGAGCACAGCTGTTATCCACATAGTGAGGGGATGGAGAGTGTGAGGGGAGATACCAGGACAGAGAGGGAGAAGGCTGGCAAATTTGGAGCTTGATGTGAAGACAAGAAGGTGGAGGAGTCTGAAGTGAAGAGGAGGAGGAGCAGGAAGGTTACGGCAGATTAGGCTGGTATCTGTGCGCTCCTCTCTTCATACTATCCTGGGACAAAGTTGCTTTTCCCGTGCAGGTTATTGGAATCTGGGAAATCCGATGAGTAAATCATGATGAGGCAATCTTCTCCTCGTCCTCGCGTCAAGCACAGCTGCTTCTTCTTGTGGGTTCAGAGGAGCTCTGTCCTGCTGTCGTGCCGGGCCTCCATCCTCGCTGGTAATTTGATGTCGGGAGTTTCTGTTTTGGTTTAGTCTTCACTTTGTCTTCATAACTTACTTGGCCTTCAGCTTGAAATGATCCCCTTTTATCTCTCTTTCTTTCCAGTCTCTTCTCCTCGCCCTTCACACTTGTACAGCTCCTTATTTTCTTTATCTGTATATTTTTCCTCCTCTTTGCACAACACTTGTGCGGATTATCCCCGCCTCTTTATCTGTCTGCAGTTTCCTTTTCTTTTTTTTAAGGTCTCTTTTCCTTACCTCTGTTTCTTTTGCTTCTTGATCTGTCACAAGTTCTCTGTCGGGCTGGCTGATCTTTGGGAAGGTATCAAGAAGGACAGGAAAAGAATGAAAAGAAATCCAAACCCTGCTCTCCAATGGGGATTTTAAAAGAAGTCCAGCTTTTGGCTTTAAGTTCTTGTCCAAACAGAGCGAATGTGCGTGCTGCTCTCAGGCGTCCCGCTGGAGTGAATGAGGGAAAAAAAATACAAGAATGGAAGGCTTGTATCTTGTGGGCGGGGAGAAGGATCTGAGAGACTCGGTTCATGCGTTTTAGTTGATTATACTGGTTCACTCCTTTTTTTTTTTTCTTCTTCCAAATTGCAGGCTGTGCAGTGTCTGCAGCAGCACACAGGGCTTCAGCACTGGCACCCTTTCTACCAACACATGCCATCCTCCTCTTTTTCAGAGGATTTATATTCACTGGAGAGGCTATTCTTTCTCCTCGTGATTTGATTCTCACACACAGAGAAAAAGGCTGAACGGTCACAAAGAGCAGCGGATTTTCCCCTTTAACGTTTGTCCTCTTCTCACACATTTATCATCCTGACATTCCTCTGTCTCTGTAATTCCTTGTAATGGGAGCAGCTGTTAAGACTTTGAAAAATGCGAGTGTTCAGTAGCGGCCAGTCGTGATGAATTTGAGTGCCTTTTCATGAGCTGCTAATACCTTCACTGTCTGTCTTTGCTCTCACTGCTTTATGTCAGCCCCCCCCCCCCCAACACACAGGCACACACACAGACGAGCCTTGATTTCCTTTCAGCTCTGAGGGCACCGTTTCATTGTAAAGCTTAGCCTGTGTGTGTGTGTGTGTGTTTGAGTGTGTTAAAGCGCCCGAAGTAAAGCCATTAAATTGCTCTCACACCTGCAGCAGCTCAGAGCCTTTTCTGCCTTTCCCCTCTCACACTGCATCTGGCTCCATCTTTGTCCTTCTCCCTACCCCCTCTCACTTTCTCTCCTGTCCTTTCTTCCTTCTGTTTGTCCATTCAAAGTGTTAAAAAGAGAAACTTCACACGCCTTCTTAACTATTCCACCCCAAGGCCATGTATGACAGAAATGGGGGGGGGGGGGGAGCGGCTTGCATCGTTGTCTAAGCGATCAAATCTTTTCTTCACAAGCTCTCACAAGGCAAAGTGGTTTCCGACTTTGTTGAAATAAATTACCAGGGAGAGTGGCACACAGGCTGGAAAAGACTTGGAAGAGGAGGGCCAGGAGGAGGAGGGAGAATGAGGTGTGTCTGGGAAATGCTCGAATGAGAAAACATCCGATTTTTGGGCCAGTCACCGCCAGCCTTCCCAAGGATTATAGATGCACGCAGACACAGACGTATGGTGGCAAGTGTCTGCTTGCAGCGTCGAAATCTGCACAACCAAATCCCGCATTCCAGTCATTTCTTTCACTGTGTCATCATGGAAGCTCAGAGCATACAGTTGAGAGATGTCATAGAGGGAAGGTTATCAACCTGCAGGAAGGATAACAGATTTAGAATTCTGATTAAACTTATGCTTTATCACTTTACCTCATTTCATTTATTTTTCTGTCACATCTTATCACTGAGTTGCTTTTTTTGAATGGTTGTTTTAGTGGAAGAGATTTGTTTCAGGAAATGTTCCAATTGCTTCTTAGAAGTAATTAACTAACATTTTGAAGGCTGCAAAGATGAAGAATGGAATGTAATCATTTAAAGTGGAAAAACATGACTGTTTGACATGTTTTCCTTTAGGAAATTGGTTAGTGTGTTTAGCCAGTTCAGATGAGGACTAAGTCAAACACAAAGCTCCAGTTTCATGTCAAAAATAGACAAAAAAAAAAAAACTTGTAAACTACTACCTTTTTCTCAATTGGTCAACATCTTCTTGAGTGGTAATAAGTATTGGTTCAGCCCTAGACGAGCAGACAGAAATGCCACTGACTCAGACTGTTTAATAGCCCTCTCACTTTGGTTTAACCTCCCCTCCCCCAAAGGCGACCTCAGTGGCAGCGAGCCGGTAAAGAGGCTGCAGGTGGGAGAGCGAACGTCTCTGTCGCAGCACAGCTTTAACACAAGTAGCGCAATTTACACAAGATTCTATCTCCCAGCTGTCCTTGCTCGGCGTCGTCTCTGTTTATGGAGCTGGGCCTCTCCTATCCAGATAGAGCGCCCTTTGCACCAGACAGCCGGGAGCTCCGGCAGCTCCTCTTTACCGTCTGGAGCAGAGGCTCTCCACCGGGCTCCTGGCCTCGGCCGCGGCCTGCCAGTGGACAGCGTGAGCTACGTGTGGCAGGAGTTCAGAACCCGAATCAGAAAAAGTATCAGACTTGTTTAAGAATGTTAATCGTCAACAAACGATGATATCTCCGGGACCTTCCCGATTATGTCTCCAGTGTTTGAAGGCAGGAGCACCACGTTGGACTCCTTGGCCAGGTTTGAGAAAGCAGACGCGCAGTTGTGCACCGCGGGGGGGAAGGCAGCGGTGTTTCTGCTCCCTCCATGGAATTCTGGTCGTCGTGATCACCAGGAGAAGGTTTCCCAAAGTTCTCCATCCCATACCTGCTCAGCCAGGGCCTCCGACAGCAAACTGAGGTTTTTTTTATTTGGCTTGTGCTCTGGCCTCACCTGGAGACATCACAGCATGTAAACTAACAACAGAGGCAGATTAGTTGTGGATTCACGTTGCACCGCAGGCTTTAAAAGTGTTCCTCGGGATCAGACGTCGTAACCATCCTGGATTTGTTGTCTTTGTAGTCTTGCAACAGTCTGAAGGCGCATACGGCAATTAAATGCTTTGCGGATTCGGTGTAATGACGCCTTAAGGTCCTCAATTACACATAAGATTTGTGCTTGGAACTGAATCCAAACTCCCTATTGGGTTTAGGTTAGATGTGAAAGGCACCAACCTGCGGTCCCGTTAATCCGCTCGGCCCTCTCTCCCTCTGAGGCCAGGATCCGGACTTGCTTGCGGCCTTCTGTAATGTTGACGGCCGCCCCCCGCGTCCCTTCAGACGGCGGCTCCCTTCCTGTGCTCGGCCTCCACCTAGACCACAATTCAAAGGCAAATATTGAAAGAGACTAAATAATCTGCAAATCACCTTCTGGGAACTCACAAGTGTTGTAACTGTGTCATTTCTTGATCTTTGTACACACATTGCAGCAAGAACACAAGAAGGTGGAACTTTTACCTGGATCCGCGGGGACTCTTGAACGTCACAAGGAACTTGTTTGTCCTTGATTTCATAACACAGGCGGCAGAGTCTCTAATCGCCTGACGCCTATTTGACCGAGTGCACAATGTTTGAATTGAGAGACTGTCTCCTTGAAAGAACGAAAGATAGAAGACATTTTCGTGTAGCGAGATTTACACAGAGCATTGTGGATCTCTTACCCAGAAAACTTTACCCAAAGTCACTTTTCCCAATCCTGAAAACATTGTGGTGACCACATCATCAATTGTCAAATTGACATCCACTTGAATAGTAGTATTAAAGTACATTTCCACTGTCAGCAATGGTATTTCAATTAGTGTTTCTAATATTAGGGCTTAGTGTGCTTTTATTAAACACCTCCAAACGTGCTCCGTGCTCTCAGTGACTGGGCTTTATGTTGTCGTGTAGGAACGGAACCACTGTGTCCGCGGGTAGGCGGGAGGCACGTCGCTGCCGGACCGACTCATCACCTGGCTCCTAATTAGCAGCATCCGGTGGGACGCTCTGTCGGACGCCGTTCGACCGTCGCTGTTTCTCAAAGGTATTGTCATGTTTTTATGTCACGTAGAAATAACCAATTTAGGAGGCTAAAGGGGGACAAATAAACGGAAATGTTTCAGAAATGTTGGTGGTAAAAAACAATATTTTTTTTATGGCATATTTCGTAGGCTAGGAGTTATATATCTGTGGATTTCTTTTAACAATGTGAACCATGTAATGCGTTTTGCTATACTGCCCCCTACTGTTTCTGGTGGGCAATGCAACCGGATGGACCAAAACATTTTAGGTTTTTGTTTGACTTTTTTCTTCCGTAAAGAAAGAAAATAGTAGCTTCAAAATAAGTGTAAAACGTATAGATATCGAAATAGAAATGCACTAGCTGATGTATCTACAGCATATGTAGAATTAGGAAAAATGAAGATGATGCAAAGTGTGAGACATTTTGTGTCCATATATAAAAAAGAATGATTAAGGATATTTTTCTACATGTCTTTCTGTACTTGTATACCAATATCTACCGAGTTACTGCAGATGAAGTTGTTGATTATATTTACCTTATTTTTGTTTATTCTATGTCCCTGACTTGACTTTGAGCTTGAATGAATAACTCCATCTGATTTAAGAAATGTAATCAAAGAAACCTCAGGAAGGATGCTCAAAATAACCAGATCCATGGGAAAAATTATAATGCCTTTCACTTGATTTTATATCCAAATGACAAGTTAATGGGAATAGTAGTCTTAAAGCAGGATTACTAGACTTAAGTTTGAAATGTGTGTGTATATATATATACTTTGATTTACACAGCCAGTCTGTTGTCTTTGTAGGTTTGACCCTTCTAATATTCACATTTTGGACTAATGTTTCGTTTTCTAACTCAGAGCTGTGCTTAAACTGTTGTAAACGTCTAAAGTGTTTGATAAAAACATAATGAAAAAGTACCTTCATTTGAATGTGAAATAAGAGTGTTAAAGATGGGATCCGTCCTCACATCTCAGTTTGTGACTTCAGTATAAGTCCCAAAAAAAAACACAGTAACGATCATGCACAGGATACCTCTCATTTACTGCAATCAACAGTAAACTTGCAGGAAAGATAACAGAAAAAATCGTTGCAAAGATAGTTGCAAAATATATCACAGTTATGTGTCCCAAACCCTGATGAGATTTACACGTTTGTGTCTGTGTCTGCATTTTAACAAGAACAAAAGAAGCATTTACAGTATGATGTCTGTGCAACATTTAATGAATAATAATGCATTAAATATAAACCACTACTTTTTTTTGTCTGTGAGGCACAGAGGAAGCAAAATAGAATTAAAGCAAAAAGGGGGTAGCCACGGTTTGCCCCGTATTACAATCATCAGAGTGTTTTCTTTACTTGGTTTTTGGAGTCAGTGTTTTGTCGGGCAACATCTGCTTTCTAACCTTTGTAAAAAGCATCATCACATTGTTGGATTAGTCTGTCGGGGAGCTATTCAGCACCTCAATGCGAGTGGATGTGGGGTAGAGAGGATTTAAATGATAAAATCCAATCTACATGATGTTTACCTCCCTGGAATGAGGCTGCAGTATTCTGAGGGTTAAAATGAATTTGACCGTTTTTCTGAACCAGGGGTAGAACATAGCACATATGAGAGGATTCAAACAGGAGTTTATCAGCATGATCCAAGATAAAATGGAAAAATAAGACAAGGTCGTAGAGGTGTCCTGACCTGCGAAAGCAGGGTAGTAATAAGGACAGAAGCACATCAGAAAGACAGTAATCACAACTCCCAGAGTCCTGGCAGCTTTGAACTCTGATCTTTTAG